GTCTGAGAATTCATTTTCATCTTCTCTCCTTGTGCATGACAAGGGGCATCCACTGAGTGCCCCTCACTCCACCTTGGTGTTATAGTTTCCATTTAGCTCTTTAAAAACACACAGAAACATCTTAGTAATTTGCTAATCACATCCACTTGGTGTATTTTATTAACTCCCGTGCCTTCCCTCTGAATTCATTCTTCTTCTTGCGGAAGCATGCCCTTTAGTAGCTCTTTCGGGAGTGGTGTGTGCTTGGTGAACTTTTATGTACGTTGGGTTTTATGTCTTAAAATCTCTTTCTCTCCTTCGAATAGCATGTACAAAATGTCAGGTCGAGAGTTATTTTCCCTTATGTCTTCAGAAATACTCTGTTAGTGACTTGGCTTTTCTTGTTGGAAGCATGCGTATCATTTAAGATTTTTTTTTTCTTTCATTTTCCTTGATCTGTGTCACTAACAGGTGTCTGTCATGGTAGAGTTTATTTAAAAGTTCCTTGTTGAGACTCAGAATGTGTTGCTGGTCTAAAGAGTGATGTCTTTCTTTGGTCCTGAAACATCCCCATCTTGTCCCCTTGGTGGTGCTTCTGCACGCTCCCTCCCATCCTGTCTTCTGGAACTGCCAATAGGATGGAGCTTTTCCCTGTCCTTCGTCTCTTGAATGCTTTTATAGTCTTAAGTCTCTTAGGCTCTCTGTATTGCATTCAGCGTGGTCTTATAATAATTGTCTTACGGTTCCCCCAGTCTCTCTTCCTCTGTGTCTAGTTTAGCCACTTAAAGTTTGTCTCTTTCATTGAGGAAATTTTTCAGTATTTATGTTTTTAACTTTCAAGAATTTAAAAGAAATTTTCCTACAGAGTTGGCCCTGGTAATAATGCTTTCCGTGGAGTGCAGCATCTAAGTTTTTCCCATCTCAGCGTGTCCAGGGATGGCGAGACGAGCACTCTGACAGCCGGCAGAGCTGAGCGCTGTGCTGGTAGGAGGGGGACCGCTGGGCAGGCAGCCTCCGGGCAGAACAGACCGCATGGTGCAAGGAGGCAGAAGTACACTTACCACACTGTCACGGCTACGAGATAACATGGCGTGTCCCACCGTGGGGCCCAGTTTAGCCTGATAGGGGAATGGGACAGTCCAGCCCCCCACCCTGTGGGGACCGCAGCAGTTTGAGCTGAAGAGGCTGTCAGGGTACGTGCTCGGGCACCCTCAGCGGGGGACCAGGCCCAGGGGCACAGGGCCAGGGAGGCAGGTGGAGCAGCTGAGGGCTGGCGCCCGGCTCCCCTCCCTGGGTCTGACTCTTGCAGCTATCGGCCTTTCCAGGAAGACGATGGGCAGTATTCCAGGGCCTACGGGCATCTTCTGGCCATCAGCCTGGCCTTCGTCATTGTGTTTGAGGGAGCTCCCTGCCCCCCACTTTTGGCCTTAGCATGACTTGGGGGGAGGGGGGCATGAGACCAAGGGAGGAGGCTCCTGCACTCGCTCTGTCACCGTGGTTGAATCATTGTCCTCTGCACCTTCATTTCCCCACCTGGGACGTGGCCTTGCTCATTCTCCCCACTGTCACAGGGCTGTGAGGGCACCAGAATGTTCCGGGCCTGTGCAGAGTCCCAGGGAACCTCCCAGGGTACGGCAGCTGGGGGTGGTCTCTAGCCGTGGTGCTGCTGCTCTGCAGTTCAGCCTCACCTGGGGAGCAGGTACCCGCACCTGGCCCCACGAAGGCCACGCTAGGCATTCGTTTCACCCGCAGGTGGGGCCCTCGTTCACTGCTCGCAGCACTGCGATCTCCTGGCACCTGACGTCCCGAATCTGCAGATTAAGGTGAAGTGGGGGCAGAGGGGTGGCTACCTGGCCAAGCAGGTGCTGGCCGAGAACGAGGGGAGCCCCCGCCCCCGGGGAGCGGCCCCAGCCTGGTGCTCAGCAAGTGGGAAGTCAGAGTCTAACCCACACCCTCGGCTGCCCTTTCCTGGAGAGAGGATGAGCAGCCCCCAGGCTCAGGGAGGAGTCCACACCTAGGCTGCCAGAAGCCGGCCAGCCCTCCCAGTCCCTGCCCTGAGGTCACGGGTGACCTCAGCTTCCGCAGCAGTGGGGCCTGGGGCCAGACACACCAGGAGAGCAGAAGCCTCGCTGCCCACCGCCCTCAGACCACAGCAGATCTGCTTCTCCTTGTCCCACAGCTGTGCTCTGGGCTGCCCTGGGCCTCTGCTCATGAGCCCTGCTTTCCGAGTCCTGGCTGCAGCCACCACGGGCCACCGCTTTGGAGTACACGAGGCTCGCCTGCTGTGGCAGCTGGCCCCATGGGCCATGAGCGCCCTGGGGCAGGGTGGCTCTAGCTGGCCCCCTCGCCAGCCCCAACCTCGGGGCACACTGCCCACTTCCCTCCCAGCTCCTACCTTTGCTGCCCCAGCACTGGCCCTTCCGGGCCTCACCCCTCTACTGTCCCTGCGGCCCCCGCACAGCCCCCTCATTTCCCATTTGCTCCTCAGCTTCAGACATGACTCGCCTGCCCATCATGCTCGTGAACTGGGGTGTCCTTGTTGTCTGGTGCTTTGCACCTGCTGTCCTTCATAGGTGGCATAGCCCCTTGTCCAGGCCCAGCCCTGCCTCTTCCCACCCTGTCCACACAGGGTCCCACCCGCCCCCAAGCACAGCCTCACCTGTCCGCTCTGCACTGTGTCCAGGTCACTGCTGGGGAGCAGTCCGCCGCCCTGCCCCGCCCCCCACTCCCATTATCTGCCAAGGCATCTGGGTCGGTCTCATTTCTTGAAGCTGTCCCCCCTTTCCCTCTTAGCCACTGCCAAGCACTGAGTGTCCCCTCAGTACCCCCTGCGGCTGCCCTCCCAGGCTAGGACGGACACAGGCCTTGCGGCATCGAGCACCCAATGCGGATGGTCTGGACGAGGCTGAAGTCCTCCCCCGAGCACCTGGGGAAGGGTCACGTGATGCTCAGTGGCCCTGGTCCCAGAGCTTTTCGTGTTTTCAAGACCAAGAGCACAGCGGACGTGCGGCTGGGCCCCGCCCACCGGCTGGCCTCGTGAGCCTGAGCCTGTTCCGGCGGCGCTTCAGCTACCTCTGTGCGCGGAGGGGGCGCGGGCCGCCGAGGTTTGCTGATGGAGGATGCGGGCAGAATCACGAGCTAAGCAAATGGCAGCGTGCGGCGAGGGCAGCCAGGGGACCATCCACCCCGGCGGTGACAGGGGCTCAGGGACAGGCGGCCGCCCAGCCGCAACCACTGCTGGCCTCCTGCCATGGCTCCCACAGGGCAGGCAGCACAGGGCTGGGAGCCACGTGCCAGCTGGGAGAATCACAGCCACGACGATGGCTGTGTACGGGCGTCGGCAGCCACGCACTCCAGCCGGCTGACGACAACCTGGTTCCCCAGGATTGAGCATGCAACATAGGGTGACACAATGAGCTCCGCACACTGCATCTGGTCTGGGGTTTTATTGTAGAATTAACAAAATTCCGGTGTCATCCACATTCACGAGCCTTTACAGATTTGCATATAATCACCAAATTCCAAAGTTAAGGCCAAGGGATAGATGGTAACCGTGGACGCACGTGACGTGGAAGACAGTCAACAGAGCAGACGCTCGCACCCCAGCCCTGCCCTGGGCTCTCCTGGCGGCGCTGGGGGCTGCAGGAGACCCGGGCACAGCCATTTCTCAGCCTCTGTGGACAAACAGCCAGGGCAGAGCGAGGCCACAGCCACAGCTCAGGAGGGGACATTGCATGCGCAGCGTCAGCAGTAAATGCAGATGTGCAAAATCCTGTCGTGAGAATTAGAACTCTAGCTTCGGGTAGGGGCTGGGTGTGGAAGGGGGCGGGGAGGAGAGGGTGGCCACGGGCAAGGGTCCAGGCCGCCCGTGGGGAAGGCGAGGCCGTGCCTTTCCTCCCACCTCCCTGTCTCGATCGACTCGACCTAGTTTGGGCCACCGGCCTATTTAGCTGAAGCAAATGTTCTTTCCTGTCCCAAGTTATCATTGCTGTGAATGGGCACGTTTAGGCTGCTTGGGATGGGAACGTGCAGAGGCAACGGACACCAGCTATCGGCAATTCTCAGGTTGCCAAACTGAGTTAAACCAAGAGTGGACGTGCGGGGTGTCAGGGGAAGGGCGGGGGTGTGGGCACAAGTCGGCCTCCCTAGGAACTCCAGAATCTGGGAGTGGACGGCTCCGAGTAGCTCAGTCACCTCCAAGGGAAGAGACGGGGGTGGGACGGCGGACCCCCAGCCACCGCCACTCTCCACAGGCTGCCGTCTCCCCGCTGGCCGGGGGCGGGGCTCCACGTCTCACCCAGAATGACCCACCACCCCCGAGAAGGGCAGGTGCCCTGAGCAGCACCTAGGCTTCCACCCAGGCCGAGCAAGTCTCTCTCGACCTCAGGACCACGAAGCCTGCCTCGGACGGCCAGCTCCCCTGGGCTCACACACAGGACCCGAGCGTGTCAAGGGACAGCCAGGTGGGGTGCCGTGTATACTCCCCGCTCTGGACCGGCCCTCTGGCCTCTACCACGTGTGGGTGAGGAGGGCAGAGCCTGGAGCCAGGCAAGCGGCTACTTGCCCTCGAGGCTGTGGAAAACCTGTGACCCCAGACGTGTCTGAACCAAGTCTGAGCGACCCACACGTAAGGTCACTGCCACGCGCTGAGGTAGAAGCATTCGAAAGGGCAGACGCAAAGGGCTGAAAGTCACATAACCGTCAGCCGTCACTCAGAGCAGGTACCCTCCCCCCCAGCTTGGCGGGCCACCCCCCTCCATATCGTCACCGTGGCAGCCCGTGGACCCAGATGGCAGGCATGTGGCCTCACGCTGCAGCACCTGTGGAGCCCCGGTCACCCTCTGCCCCTCTGACCAGCACCCTGCGGCTCTCCTCGGGTCCGGGTGCTCGCGGTGTGCACGCCGGGGCCTCTTCCCCAACCCCGCGGTCTGGGCCAGGTGGGCTTTGTGGCAGCTGGAAGGGGGCGGGCTGCATTCCACAACAGCCAAGGGGGAGGAGGAGGGAAAGGAAGAGGGCAAACATTTTGGCTTTTATAAAGTCAAGGAAATTTATTTCCTGAGGTCATGACACAGGAAGTAGACTCAGCCACGGCTTGGGGGCCAGCACTCTCCGGACATGCTGGGTGGACCGGGGAGCTGCCGGTCAGCGCTGACCGCCATGGCGAGCCATCCGGAGCGCGGGTGCCAGGGGTGGGTCCTGAGCACGCGCTGGGGCTGGCCAGGCCCGGAACCGGCCACACACGGCGCCGGGCACCCCGGCTTCACTGTGAGACCTCGGGGAGGGGGGAGTATCGACAATTTACGAGGGTCCAGCCGCTGGGTCAGGTCGAGACAAACCACTGTGTGCTGGGGCGTGGGTCAGCAGGCTGGAGAAGCTTCTGCTTTCTGACCATTATCGTTTGGGGCCCCAAGGGAGGGTCTTGGGGGCCACCTGAGCCCCAAAACTGGGGAATTCCTCGGAACTGCTCATGTCAGGAGCCTGTGGGAGGAAGGGCACAGCTTCAGCAGGGGGCTGCACTCAGGTGGCCCCCTAGCGGCTCCCCACCTCGGCCGCTGGGCATGGGGGCGGGGTCCCCTGGAGAAGACACCTGACCTTCTCGCTGCTGCTGGCAGTCCAGGGAGCGTCCCGCACCACGAAGCCCTTGGACGGCGCCCTGGCCTCTTCATGGGCAGGGGGCTTCATGTAGACCTGCAGCACCTCACTGTCCACCACGTCGGCCAGCTGTGGGGGCGGGGGCGGGGGGAGGGCGGGAGTCAGTCTGCAGTGGGGATGCTTAACGAGCACTCCCACCGTGCGCACCCATTTCCAGCATCTGGGGCTCGGTGCACCTGGCACACCTGAGAACCCCCATGGGCTGCCCCACATGACCCCAGCACTCACGTATTCCTCCTCCAGGTTGAGGATGTGGTCGATGGCCTCCTCCACATTCTCTGGCAGCCCCGTCACCGTGACACAATTGGGGTCTGGGGCCCCGCTCTGTGGGAAGCGAATGTCCACCTGGAAGGCACACACGCAGCGGCTGAGAACGGTCACTGCCAGCACCTTCGCCTCGTGCTGGTGCGAGCGTAGGGAGGGGTCTGGGTCCCCGGGCGTCCCCAGAACATGGACGCCCCGAGCACGGAGAGAGCTCCATTCGCACAAGGCAGAGGGAACAAGCCGAGGTACCCGTGTCTCAAAGGTGCAGAGCCCACCGAGAGCGAGCGTGCTCAGGATGCTACGCCCTGCTGTGACCCGCTTGACCTCACCCCCTCAGGGACAAGCACCCAAACCATGGACGTCTCCCCTCTGAGACCCCGTGGGTCAGCGAGAACAATCAGCGATCGAGGCAGGAGGTCCTGAGGCCGGGAGATGGTCCCCCGTGCTCCCTCGGCAGCCCACAGAGAGGGACTCGTGGGCACTTACTGGACACAAATGTCCTCAGGCGGGGCGGGGCACTCACCTTGAATTCATCCATGATTTTGCGAATGGCTTTGCCGCGGGCGCCAATGATGCGGGCATGGACACGGTGGTCTAGTGAGACATCCTCAGAAACCATCTGTTCAAGTTCACCCACGATTTTCAATATGGCGTCCCGGGCGGCTTCTGTGTTCTTCTCGTACCCCGTGATGGTGATTTGGTCCTGCGGCTGAGATGGGAGAATCCAGTCAGAAGGAAAATGCCCCCGGGACTCGCGGGCAGGAGGGGCGGGCAGGGGCTCTGGCCTCACCTGGGGGAGAGAACTTCCGCACTGAATGAAAGGAGGTGGGAAGGAACAGCGAGTGGCTGACTTCGAAGAGCAGGTTAGCGATGCCCACTCAGCTCCCGCCCCCACCCCCAAACTTCACCAAAAAGCCGCGTGCAGGAACAGAAAGCACCTGCCAACGAAGGTGACCAGACACTGGCAGGTGAGGGCTCGGGGCCCTTTGTCTGGAGAGGTCTCTGCTGGAGATGGAACGACCTGGAAGACGGTGCCTGACACGTGGTGGGCACAGCGCCCCACAGCTACGGTGTACCCTGGCCTGGGGCCTCCCTCTTACTGAGTAACACACAGCACAAGGGCGCCGGCCCGTAAAGGCTCACAGGGCGAATGGGTAATTCAAGACACAGAATTTACACACAAGGTAACAACCTAAGCCACATCCTCCAGAACAGGAGCAAACGTTACACCCACAGAAAAAGAACAGAACACAACGTTAAAGGAAAAAGGACCAGAAAACAAGAATAAACACCTGGGAAAAAAACCAGAAGAGCAGGAACTTAGAGACCCACTGGGAGAGGCCAGAGAAACCCCAGGGGACTCGAGAGCAGCAGCCTGACCCGCGGCCCACGGCCGGCCCAGAAACCTGCGCCAGCCAGTGAGGCGTCGCCAAGACAGCGCGGGCCCAGGACAGACAGCAAATGGAGCGTAAGTCTCACAGGACAAAGCTGTGTACGAAAAAAATGTGGCTGCTTGACCCTACTTGGCTCATGAGATGTTAGCAGCCTAAACACTAAACGATGACTTTAAAAAACTCGTCATCGTATACAAAAGCTGAAAGAGATAAAAGGAAGTGAAGTTAAATTCTCAAGATAATTGAAAATCGAAGTTGAAAATAAAACAAGGCAGCACAAACACGTTCTTCAGAAACACAGGCGAACAGAAAAAAGGGCAGAGCGGGAAGGCTGAGGGCGGGCCGAGGGCGGGTCGGCACCTGCAGGCCCGCCTCCCTTCCCTGGTGACGATGACGCAGGCATGTGACTGGCTCAGGGAGACAGAGGGTCGGGGAGCAGCAGACACAGCAGGCGGGCGCCCACCACAACACACGCAGGGGGTTCGGCCAGTCCATAGAGGTCTCTGCGGTTCACAGCCCCAAGTTCTAGTGAACCGGCTCCGGTGCTGGGCGGCGTGCGGAAGGCCGCGGAGGACCCGGCAGAGACCAGCTCTCACCGCATACGAGGCTGTGCCCCAGGGGCCGGCACCTCCCAGAGGCTGAGCCTGAGGAGAGGAGCAGGGAGGACCCGGAGATGCTAGGCAGGGCTGTGGGATGGGCGATGGGGTGTCCAGAGACGGGGCTGCTTCCCGCTCCCCTCTGAGGACACAAGGCGGTGGGCACCTCTGCAGTCCCCACCTGTGAGGACAACCCTGCAAGAAGGCCCCAGCCCAGCTCCCAGGAACGACAAGGACACACCCTGCAGAGGAGTGACCAGGTGGGCGACGCCCCAAGTCCACACTGTGACACAGCCGTGTCAGAGAAACCTCACCCAACTGGCACGGGCCAGGATGGGGCCAGACCCCGGGCCAAACTCGGAGTCAGAGACCTGCCCTTGAACCCTGGCCTCTGACCGTCTGCCGCGGTACAAGTTTGCCTGCTCCCTGCTCCCAGGTAAGGACAAAGGTCGACGTGAGTCCCACCTGCCCCCAGCATGGTGCTGGGCCTGACCTGAGCGGCTGCTTACCTGGCTGCCATCGTCCTTGTCAGGAAACTGGATGCTCACGTCATGCTCCAGGCGGATCTGGGTGATCACCGCCCCCTTTCTCCCAATGATTTTGGGGTGGTACTTGGGGTCCACAGTGACACTCAGCTTGAAACTCCGTAGAGCCTAAAAATGAAACAAACGAGTGAGGCTAAGAGGGGAGCGCGTCCCTCGCGACCTGCACGTCACACGCGTCCACGGCCCCACCCCACCTGGACCTGGACGGCACCCACTGTCACCCCAGCAGCAAAAACAAGGCAAGGCCTTCCTGTCAGCCGGTGCCGCATCCCAGCGTCAGCTACTAGCGAGAGCCAGGGGACTTGGCTACCGCAGCCATGTCCACAACCCCTCAGGAGGCCCTGGGAGGCCTGGGGGACAGCTGAGGGGAGCCGCGTGCGGGTGGCCTGCGCCTGGCTCCTCTCCTATTTGTGAAACAGGCATCTGAGGAGGCAGTCGGCAAAGTGCTCTGTTCTTTTGGGGCCGGGGTACAGAAGCACCCACAGAGGAGGGAACAAAAGTGCTAAGGGGCAGACACAGCCTGGCCGCCTGTGGCCAGAGGACAAACCCCAAAGCCGGTGCCGGTGCCCACACAGCGGGGACACGCTCCAGCCGCAGGGCCAAGAGCTCTGCCAACCACTGGGCCCTGCACTCAGCGAAGAGCCCGTGACTGCGCACCCTGGGAGAGACGCCTGCTGCTGCCGTCACTCGGGCGACAGGCGAGGCGGGCTCTCATCCGTCCTCAGCAGCAGGGGAAGCGCGGATGGGGGCCCGACGCCGACCCACGCCGCACAGCATGTGCTGGGGGCCCCTCGGACAACGGCCTCCATGTGTCCCCGTGTCCACTTTTAGAGAAACCACTGATAGACAGGGAGGCCGGACGTGGTCGCTGCTAGATAAGAAGCAGCCACGCCGCCTCACGCCGCCTGAGGAAAGGTCTCCAGATGCCGCCTGCACGATGGCTACTCCCAGCCACCCTCGAGTGTGTGCGTGCCAGCCCGCCTGGCACTCACCCGGTCCTCCTGCTCGGCCTGCAGCTCCCTCACGCGCTCCAGGAGCCCGGCCTTGGCCCGGCCCAAGTTCGCAGCGAGGCCTGTGATGGCGACGATGTCGGACTGCAGCTCCGGTGCGGGGACGTGGATGTTCACCTGCGCGGAGACGGGAACAGAGCCGAGTGCGTGGGGGGCCTTCGGGACAGGATGTGTCCATTTGGCCCCCACTGATGCTGAGCTTGCCAGTCATGATCGGCGGCCTGTCGCATGTGCCAGGGACACACCTGTGGGCTCGGGAGAAGGAGGGCAGGAAGTGGGGCTGGACTCCACTTTCACATGTGTGCTCTCCAGGGAAAGGACTCACGAAGCTGCATTACCTCAAACTCGTCCATCATCTTGCGGATCCCGCTGCCCTTCTGCCCGATGATGTACCGGTGAAGGTCAAAGGGCACCTCCACTTCAACGGTGACAGGAACCAGTGCCTGCAGGGACGACGGTTGAAGTTAGGCCTGAGAACACGAGCAGAGTGACACCACAGGCTCAGCGACAGGTCTTCAGGGGGCACGAAGAAAAGCCAGCCCTGTGAGGACCGTCCACACTGTTCCCCCAAGGGCGGAGAAGGCCACCTGCAGCTCCACGGAAACACAGGGGCAGGATGAGGGATCCAGTGTTGAGGCTGACGCTGGCAGAGCAAACGCTCGCACCCCGGCCTCCGCCCCTGACTGCAGCAGGCCCCTCGCAGAAGCACAACGAAGCAGGACCGGACAAACCAGGGAACGGGACGTCGGGCGTGGGGGAGGGGAAGCGGCTGGCAGGCAGAGGCTCGCCCCGACTCCCGGCCTCGCCACGGTCGGGAACGGGCTACAATCCAAGCCCACGAGAGTCTCGGGGACGGCGGCAAGGGGCACAGGCACGCTGGCTGGTCCACTCCGCGTCAGCCGCAAACCCCAACCGCCCCCACGGCACTTGACCTCGACGCATGGTAACTCTGTCCCTCACTTGCCTCCGTGCACCGTGCACGGCCGTCCTGCGGCTATGGTGAGGTGGCACGCAGAGCAGCACCCGGCACGTACATAAGTGACACTCAAGAAGCACTCACTGCCAAAAGCAGCCTGAGACAGGTCTGGACATCCCTGCTGCCCAGAGGGGACACTGAGACCAGAGGCCACATTCACTCTGCTGCTAATGACAGCCATCGGCTCTGCTCTCGGCGGCCTCCCGATCCCCGGGCAGCTGCCAGGTCCTAGGGAGACAGCGCCTCCACCTGTCGTGCAAGCCAAGGCGCTCAGGGCTCAGGACTGAAGTGACCGGTGGCCCGTGGCCACCAGGCAGCATCGCTGAGGCCACACCTCGCCCAGGCCGCCCACGTACCTCCAGGGCTTCCTTGGCGGCTTCACACTTTTCCTTCCGGCCAGAGATGACGATGATGTCACACCTCCGGGGAGAGCCAGGCTCGGCCTCTCTGCTCTCCCCGGTGTCGTCGCCATTCTCCTGGACGGCCGGCTCCATGCTGTGGACTAGGGACAGAGGGAAGGGGCAGTTCGCACAGGCCATGCGCATACGCTCCACTTCCTCCTGGAGCACGAAGCTACCTGCCTCGGAGGCCGAGGTGAGATGCACAGTGTGCAGCAGGGGCGGAGGGCGGGGCCCGCGCATCTGAGGGAGGATGGACATGTGGACAGCCCAGGAGGCATGGTGCCGCTGGGAGGGGCTCGAGAGATTTGGGAGGAACGAGATAAGGCTGCACCAGCTTCTTATGCCAGGACGCGAGCCAGCACCCCGAAGAGACGTGAAACAGGGCATGGGAGCAGCCGGCCAGGCTCCCACGGGCCGCTCCAGGGGCCGCGTGTTCACCAAAACAAACACCAGCACAATGCTCCTGGCGAAAAACGAAATCCAGGAGTCCGGTCGCTACATAGACGAGCGAATGCCAACAGGCAGGACTGCCATCGTGACCTTGGATTAAAATTTGGGGGAAGAGGTGGGCTCTGCAGGATGCTTTTAAAGCTGGCAAAACTTGAATTTCAACTATGAATTTGATAACGATGTCATATAATCAGATCTACCAATTGTGATGAACACGCCCAAGTTACCTCAACTGACGTAAGAGAATACCCTCGTTCTGAGAAAACCGTCCAATGGGCAAGGAGCAAGTCTGAAAACTGCACTCGCGTGCCTCAGAAAAATCGAGTGTGTGTGGGAAGTGGGGAGGGAGCATGAGAACTGGTGAGTTTGGATAATGAGCATACAAAACATGTCTTCATACACTCCTGGGCAATTTTTCTTTTAATTATGAAATTACATCAAAATTAAAAAGTAAGCAGTCAAGGGTGAAACATGACACCCTATGACAGCTAGTTTTCTATTCACAACAACCTGCATTCCCAGAGAGACAGAGGAGCTTCGAGGGCCCAGATGAGCACTGGGGGCCAGGGCACGTGGCACATGCTTGGCAGGCACACGCGCCGAGCTCGGCCCCATGGGCAGCTGAGACTTCCCCCTAGAGGGCAGGACACACCTTTGCATCAAGACCAGGAGGAGACGTGATTTACGAAGTTGCTCTGCCCACAGCAGTCCTGCCACGGGTCACCTCCCCGTCCTTCCCACTCTGGGTGAAGTGGAGAGGAGAGGCCGCTGCCGTGGCCAAAGCAGACGCAGCCTCGGCGCACCGGCCTCCCCAGGGGCTGTGGGCAGTGGAGCCGAGCATGGGCTCCTGAGTAAGCAGCTGGCTCTGTCAGCAGATGTGAGCCTCTAGGATGCCTGAAGGGTGCCTGAAGGGTGCCTGGTCACCCTGGAGTGACTGACGAAGCTCACCTGGAGACGAGGCGTGAGCCCGAGCTCAGACCCCCGGGAAGGGAGGCGCTTCGCCAGGACGCCACGGCCACCTGTGCCTACCTCACCCCAGGTCGGGACCGCCTCACCTCCCACTTCCCAAGCGGCACGGAGCTCACTGCAGACCCACCTGGATTCTCCTCTCTGTCCGGGAACTTAATCTGAACATTATAGTCCCGTGTGATCTGCTGGATTCTGGACCCTTTGGGACCCATGACGGATCGATGGAATTTCTGGGGTATGGCACACTCCATGGTCACTTGGGCTTCCTGGGGGAGGTGCGGCATGACGGGAAAACACAGAGGCGAAGGTTAACCGCTCGTGGTCAATTCACACTCACGCCACGACCAAGCTCGCAGACGCCCCTTTTTCCCCAAGTGGAACCCAGAGCCCCACGTGTGATGGGGCAGAGGAAGGGCACAGGGCAGGGCCAAAGGGGAGCCTGGCGGGAGTCTCCCCAAGAAGGCTACAAAGTATCGAAGGCTCATCCGTGCAAAACTACACTGGTGCCGGCTCCCACTGGGAATTCGAATCTAACGACGCTGATTTCCCTCCAAGCGGACAGGGGGCCACATCAGTCCCAGGAAAGGGACACTGGGACGCTGCGGCTCTGACTCCACAAGGAGCCATCAGGCTTCGCTAGAGAAAGCGCCTCCGAGGCGGCAGCAGGGGGCCGTGGGGAGCGGGGCAAGAGCGAAGCTCTCCGAGGCTGGATGGAGAAGCAGCACGGTTGCTGTGGCCCCCCTGGACGCGCTGTGACCCCCTCTCCTTCAACCTATTTCCTTCTCCCTGGAGGAGGAGAGGAGAGCGGGAAGCTGGCTCCCCCGGACATGCCGTGCATTCGTAAACTGAACAGTAAGCTGCTTGTGAAGGCAGCTCCTCGTGGCCCGGCAGGGGGAGGCTGCTGGACTGTGAGAAAGGCAACCTGGCGAGTGGGGCCCGATGGGACAAACGGGGCGCCCTCCCGCCGCTGTGCCCGAGAAGCACGCCAAGCTCCCTGGCACCAACCAAGTCCTCGATGATCTCCTGGATGCGCTTCTTGGCCGCCTCCACACAGTCCTTGGCGCCCTTGAGGGTGACTTTGTCGCTCTGTGTGCCGGAGCGCGGGAAGCTAACCATCACCCCACCGTACTCCTCAGCAATCTCGCGCAGAACCTGGCCTCTTCGGATGACAAAATGACGGTGGTGCTTGGGGTCCACCAGCATGCAGTCTTCGACCACGTTATCCTGTGGCGTCAGGGGAAGGGAAGGGCGGTCAAGGGCCCGCTGGCCATGCCACGAGGCGCAGGCGGCTGTGGCTCGGCCTCGCTGGGCTTGGGGCTCTGGGCTGCTGGGTCTCACCAGGTTCTGGATCAGGGCCTCCAGCTCCTTCTGGGCCTCCCTGACCGCATCCTCTTTTCCCATGATGGTGATCAGATCCTGGTCCTTGTCCTCAGCTGTTGGGAATATGATGCGGGCCCCTGTGGTGTCGCGCACCTTGCGAATCTTGCCGCCCCCTTTGCCGATGAGGAACTTGTGGTACTCCGGCTTGGCGCGGACGTCGGCGGTGAAACTCCTGGTTTGCTGCAGAAACCAAGGCCACACATTGGCCCGCTGCCACCTGCCCAGCCCCTGGCGCAGGTAAACAGGAGGGCCTAGGGGACAACAGCATGGCGTAGGACTTATCTCACACTGTCACCAAGTGGGGCTACTCAAGTGGCACCAAAAGAGACACTGGCCACCCAGACTGTCCTCATACTTCCCTCCACCGCGACAAGAGAGGCCCACGCGGCTCAGAGCACGCAGACTTAGAACACACACAGAGCGCGCCCTCCAGCCCTGCCTTTACGGGTGCTCCAGGGGGGTGCAGGGCCAGCTGCGCCCCCACTTCAAGCTCAGAGACCCTAGTTGAGCACGGTCCTCAGCTGATACCAAGAAACCAGGGCCCAGGAAAGGCCGGACATGGGGATCGCGTTGCGGATGCCAGCTCCTCCGGCAGATCCATCTGGAAGGCACACGGGGGCACACGGGACCACACCCCTCCAGACCCACGCAGACCCACAGTGCACGCTCTCTCCCTCCTCCTGTCAAGCTTGACCCCAGACATGGGGAGAGCTGGCGTGCCAGCACGGGCAGGGAACAGTAGATTCTGTCACCTTTTCAGTGCTGCTTTCACAGGGCGCCAAGAGACTCTCCTACCCTCAGACACGAGGCCCTCGCCAGCAGCGGCCCTGCAGAAAGCTAACAAGTGAGGCAGGCCCAACCCAGCAAAATGGAAAAGGGTAACACGTCAGAACCAGGTGGGGCTCACCCCCAAGCTGCGAGATTGGTGAAACTTTAAAAAAGAGAAAAAAAGTCAATCTAATACATATGTTAAAAAAACCAAAAAACCAAAAAACCAAAAAACCGCCCCTGTGATCATGTCAATAAATGCAGGAAAAAAACCTTTGACCAAACTCAACACCCATCTGCAGCATGAAGCCTCAGCAAACTAGGGACAGAAGGGCGCGCCCTCAGCCTGATAAAGGACACCGCAGAAGGCCCAGCACCGGGCGCCCTTGACGCTCAAGGGCTGAGCACGTCCCCAAGTTCACAGCAGGGCGAGGCCATCCGCTCCCACCGCTGACACTCCACACACGGGAGTCCAAGTGATGCAGGGGGACGGGAAGCGTGGAATGCGGGTCAGGAAGAAAGATGCTGCTGCCCCTCGCAGACCGAGTGTGCTGCAGGAGACAAGAGGCTCACAAGCAACCACTGGGAAAAGGTACCAAAACTATTAAGTGAGCCTTAGCCTGGACACGTTCAAAAATCAAATGTATTTATTTCTACACGCTACCACAACTGAAAATGAAAATGGGCTACAAAATACTATGGGTAATAGCACTAAAAAAATAAAAAAAAAGAAACCAAAAAAAACGACATAAATTGAACAAAATGTGAATATCTACATACTAAAAACTACAAAACACCAAAAAAAAAAAGTCAGACTTAAAAGAATGAAATACAGACAAAGATTGAGAACTGCTGAGATCTCAATTTTCCCCAATTTGATCTTTAGCTTCAACTACACCAATCAAAATCCAAGCAGGATTTTCTTCCTCCTAGCATTCGACAAGCTGGTTCCAAAAATGCTTTTGGAAAGGCAAGATCTGGAACAGCCAAAAGAATTTTAAAGAGCACAAAACTCAAGGACTCGCCAGATGTCTCACAAAGCAGCGGCCCCCAACCTTTGTGGCACCAGGGACCGGTGCTCGTAGGAGCATCTAACGCCTGAGGATCTGCGGCAGAGCTGAGGCGGTGATGCCGGCGCTGGGGAGCGGCTGCAGATGCAGATGGAGCTTCGCTCGCTCGCCTGCCACTCACCTCCTGCTGTGCTGCTCGGTTCCTAACAGGCCATGGACTAAACCAGCCCGAGGCTTGGGGACCCTGCCATAAAGCTAGCTATTCTGGCCTTGTGGTGTCGCTGAGACTTAACGGTCCAGAAACAGACCCGCAGATGGGCTGTGACAAACGAAGAATCTTGAGGGGTCAAAACATTTTCACTGCCCTCATGTGGCAGTACATGAATGTATGTTCACCAAAAGCCAGACTACGCACTTTAGATAAATCATACTTTTAAAAAAGAAACCACAAAACTAACAGGCCGAACAGCAAACTTCCTCTGTTGTGTGTGGAAAGCCCTTCAGCGAAGGCTAGATGCAAGCGATGGGAAGGGGACGAGGAGCTCCTGGGCCTGCCAGGAAGAAAGGGAGCGTGGGGCCGGGCTGTGCGCCACCGAGAGGACAGACGTCTGTCTCGAGGACAGACACGTTGCCCACCCCACCCCGCCCCCCGCGGGACTCACCTTCTCCTCTGCCAGGTGTAGGAGCTGTCTCTTGGCCTTCTCCACGTCCGAGGAGGGGCCCCTGATGACAACCGTGTCACTGCCCGACCCCTCCACAGGGAAGTGGATGTGGACCCCGCCACACTCCTCCATGATGGCGCGGATCAGGCGGCCCTTCGTGCCGATGAGGGAGTTATGCAGCTTGGCCGGGATCGAGACCTCCGCCTCGGTTATGTTGGCCTGGAATCACATGCGGCATGAGGGAGCCATGTTTGCGTGTGGCCAGGAAGGGCTAGAGCAGAGGGCCCGGGGCCTCGTGCAGGTGTGGACGTGCGTGGAGGGCACGCGCACCGCGCAGGACGGTGGCCGTGGACTCAGACCGTAAACCAGTGCTTCGCTTCTTCAGCCCACCTGCGGCGCTGGCAGCAGAGGTCGGTCTGAGGGCTCTGGCCAACCTCTCCCACTGAAGCCCTGTAAGCGAGGACTCTGTCTCCAGTCACAGTGACACCAGCGACCAAGTTTACCTCCCACATGACACCGACCACAGGCGGGCTCCGTGCTGCCCCTGGCTGTGCTCCTGCGCCCAGGACAAAGAGCTGATAGTCCAGGGAGACCAAGTGCCTGGGGGTGGCGGGTCAGAGCCCAAGAAAAGATGGCGTGGAGAGAAGCTCCCGCGCTGACGCACGTAGGGAGACTGCCTGGGCCAGGGAAAGACGGCTGGAAGGACGAGAGGACACAAGGACTGTAGCTCGGTCAGCTGTCCCCGTTCATGGGACGCTAGGCACAGTACCCAGAGGGGTCTCACCTTGTAGCGGGAAATGACCAGCCGTGGACTACACACAAGCAGAAACCCACCTAACAAGCCTTAAAAGCACGTCCAGAAAAAGCTAATCGTTCTGAAGTGACCGAAAGCACAGAGACATCTATAGGAACACAGATGTGTCCAGCACCCGCCACAGCAAGCTTCACGTCTGGCCGACAAAATGAAAAAACCACCCAGGAGGAGGAGAAAACGCAAACCCAGCCAGGAACGACAGGTGTTAGAAAAGGTGGGCCAAGGAACCCAACAGGTGATGTTCACCATCCTGATTGTGGTCAAGAAGCCAAAGCAAAAGACTGAACACATTACGCATAAAAATAAAAGATTCAAATTGAACTTCTACAGGTGAAAACAGTGTCTAAAATGGAAAATATACCAGACAGGATTACAGGCAGATTATATATAGACTGCAGAAAATTAATGAATTTAAAGAAACTCATGGAGAAAGACACAGCACCCTTCCTCCTCACCCAAAGAAGCAGCGTCAGTGAACGGCAGGACGGCCCGCACGGCCGACACTCAGAACGAGCCCCTGAGGGGGAGGACGGGAAGAGCTGAGGAAGAAAGAGGCCCCAGTCGCCCAGATTCAATGACAACTCCAAAGTCACGTATCCACGAAGTTCAATGAACTCCAAGCAAAGAAACAACGAAAACTATACCAAGACATGTCGTAACTTGTTCAAAGCTGGTGAGACGGCCATAAACACAGCCGGAGGGAGAGGCCGGTGTGAGCAGACGAGCAAAGCGCAGGGCAGTGGCAGCTGTCCCGTCAGAAACGACCTGAGTGCGAAGACGGAAGCGAGGCCCCCAGGACGGAAAGGGACAGGGGGCGACCAGGGCGCACGAGCCGCAGGGGCTCCTGCTCCGGCTGCCGGCAACACACAACGGTGCGGCCACTCGGGGGCACGGGCCAGCAATTTCTTATAAAATTAAACACACGCTTGTCATGTGACCCATCTTACTACTTATTACAAAGAGAAAGAGGCCATCTGTGAGACTCCGCTGGGACAGCCCGGAAAAGCCAGCACCGTGGACACGTACGAGATCAGTGGTTGCCCGGGGTTTGGGTAGCATAACGTCGCTTGACTCCAAGTTTAAGAGGTACACTGAACACCCAAAGCTACCACCAAAATAGTTATGACAAGCCGAAAATGGAGATAAAAGCAACGAAAACGTTCGATCCAAAAGGCAGAAAGAGAGAACAAAGCGCAAAGGACACAGGAGCACCGAGAGCCAGACGGACTCAGCCCAAGCGTGCAACGCCCTCCGGCGAGGCGGCCCCGGGCTGCACAGGGTGCAGCGCGAGCAGCACATTCCGGAGATGGCGGTCGCGGTGACGGCTGCATGTGGACGTGACTGACGCTGATCCGCACGCTTAGAGACGGTTAAGATGGCAAACTTTACACACGTTTCACCACAAATTTAAAAGTGAAAAAAACAATCTCATTGAATGTAATTAAGTATGTGTTATAAAAAACGTGTAATGCAGCATAACCACTAATGAAATTAAGTGTAAACACCTCAATTTAAAAGGCAGAATTATCAGAATGACCAGAAAAACAAGCTGCCTAAAAGAAACCCACTTTAACATAAAAGTAGGTTTTGGAGCAAAAAATATTACCAGGGATAAAAGGAAGTCATTTTATAAAGATGCAAATCATGTACATTAGGAATGAAAGAGATGACATTACTACAAAGAGTAAAGAAAAATACGAGAACATTATGAAAATATGCTAATAAATTCAACAACTTAGACAAAACAAAAACCCTTGGAAAAACACAAACTAGAAACACGATCTAGCCACGCAGTGAAATATTACCCAGCAATAAAAAAAAATGACGCATAAGAAAACCAAGCTCACGGAGAACAAAACGATGGTGGCGGGAGGTGGGGGCGGGTGAAACGGGGGACGGGGTCAAAGGCACAGACTTCCGGCTGTAAACTGAGTAAGGCCACGGTGTGAGGGACGGCGAGGGGGCTGCGCTGGTCGGCAACTCTGCACTATTTCAGAGATGCTGGGAGAGATCTTAACTGTCACATCATGAGGAAAAAACGTAACTGTGGGTGGTGACAGCTGTTGACAACACTCACTGTGATGACCGTTTCCCAACATACACAAACATGGGACCATCACACCGCACACCTGAAAATAACGTCCCATGTCAATTATGTCTCAAAAAACGAAGAACTGATACACGTGACAACACGGTTGACTCGACACAACCACGCAGATGAGAGCAGCTAGACTCAGGCGAGTGGGCGCTACGATTTCTCCACACGACGCAGACAAGGCAGCTGAGGGGCTGGCTGCGGAGAGCAGGGAAGCTGGCAGCAAGTGGGACGGAGGTGTTAAAAGGGGGTACAAAGCAATTTGGGGGATGACAGATACATCTGTCATCCCGGTGGGGGAGGGGACTCCACGGACACACACTCCTGCCCAAACTCATCCGGCCGCACACCTCACACGTTTTCAAAAGCTGAGGCGGCGGTGAGGCCTTTGGGACCGCGACGTCCGAGTCCAAGGCCACGGCGACTGCTCGGGACCACAGGCCAGTGCAGGCAGCTTCCTCCCAGCGTGGAGCGAGGCCCCGCCCCGCCCGGCGCGCGCGCCCCCGCCCTGCCCTGCAGCTCCCCATTACCAGGTCTTTCTGGATGGACAGGATGCGGCTCCGGGCGGCCTCACAGTTGGCCCGCTTGCCTGTGATGACGATGGTCTCAGAGTTGCTGTTCTCCGCTGGGAGATCGATCTTGGTGTTGCTTTCCTCTCGGATCTGTGACAGAGGCAAGCGTGAGGCCCCGAGCAGCAGCAAGGCCGGGGTGGGGCGCCCAGGGCTGGGAAGGATGGCTCCCGCCTGCAGACCCCGCACAGGGTGCCCAGGGCGCCCAGGGCTGCGAGGCAGGCTGAGCTGTCACCTTCTTGATGTTTGCGCCTCCTTTCCCGATGATGTTCTTGTGGAACTGCTTGAAGATCGGAACCGAGATCGAGTAGCTGTTCTCCACCTTAGGGACGAGAGCGACGGACCAGTCCCCAGTCACGCCACAGAGCGAGATGGCCCTTCTGTCCCAAGGGCAGCATCAAACGACAGGACTCTGCTCCTGAACAGGTCCCCGTCCGCTGCTCTCTCCTGGCTGGGGGGTCTGTCTGCCACAGGACGGGTGAGACAACTGCCCAACCCAGCCCGCTGGAGCTGACAAGAGGCAAAGCCCCTTTAGTAGCCACAGAACCTGCCATCTTGGATGCAGGGTCCACGATCCAGAAGCGATCAGGTTTGGCCGGGCGCTCTCGACCAATGCTCTAGGTTAAAGAGTCATCCATGCCACACCTGGGATGGTGGTTGCTTAGGGACGGACAGAGGCCGGGACGCCAGGCTCAGAACACAACAGACCTGCCTCTCAGGAACGCCGGCATGCAGGGCAGTGCACGCAAGCCCGGTGCCGGGAGGCCCTCCCTGTCCCCTCTCGGGCGGTCACGAGCCTAGGGCACACCCCGTGAGAACCATGAGGTGCGTGAGGCCAGCTGCAGCCTGCCCGTCACTCGCCCCCTCTGTGCCAGGCTTGAGGAAAGGAACCGCTATGTGACTCCTGGGACACACCTCTCCCTAGGGGAAAGACAGACCCTCAGGGAACAAGGGAGCTGGCACGGGGAGGGGGGCCCTCCCCACCGGAATTCCACAGAATACTCAAGTGGGAACAGTGTCTGCCATCTAAACCTCAACCGCTAAGAAATGGCATTGGTACTTTGTCTCAAGTCTCCAAGACAGCAGACCCACCCGGCACCGGAGCGTGCTCCCCGAGGCAGGGGTTCTGAGGGTACACATCTCTCACGCTGTCTGCAACACTGTCACACAACAAAGGATGGAAAATGTCCCCTACCAAATCCGCCACCATCTTCTGCATGTACTTTGTGCATTTCTCAACTTCATTCTTAGGCCCTCTCAGTTGGACAATATCACTTTTTTGTGCTGGGTCTGGAAAGTTGATGATAACCTAGAAGAAATCATCGAGAGGCCAAGTCCAGATGCTGGGAAGAACTCCGATAACCGCGTGCTCCCAATGCCCACCAGACCACCCGTGCGGGCTGAGGCACACACGCCTGTGGAAAACTGTACCTCTGGGAACTTGTCCCGGATCTCACGGATCCGCTCGCCCTTCTGCCCGATGATGGTGCGATGAAACCTCTGCTCGATGACCAGGTCCTTGGTGCGCTCGTTTTCCTGAACACACGACGCAGGGGTGACGTCACGCACCATGAGCCAGGTGGGCAATGCCCCCCCACGCACGACGCAGGGGGTGACGTCACGCACCACGAGCCAGGTGGGCAATGCCCCTCACAGCCGGTGAGGTGGTGCCCAAGTGTGTCTGTGTAGCACCCCTGGGTGTCCCTGGCCGGGAGTGTCACACTGCAAGTGTGTCACTCTTCTGAGCAGAGTAGGAGCTTTAGCTGACAACTGCTACTGCAGGAGCCACAGTCCCCAGAGCGGCTCAGCATTTCGGCTGGAACTGGAAGCAGACCCCGCGGCTGGTACTGTGCAGAGCAGGGATGACCCCTCTCCCCCCGCACACGTCCAGTACGCGTTATTAAGAAAAAGGACGGCTCAACACAGGGCACTGAACCCACGTGTTCTTCAGCCTCCCCAGAGGACCATCAGCCGCCAGACATGTTAAAGAGCCCCAGGAGGTTCCAGACCAGACCGGCCTCCAACTGACAGAGGAATCGAGGTCCAGAATGTAGTAACAGGACACCCCAGAACCAGGGACCAGGACGGTCACGATGAGAACCCAAGACACGGGGCAGAGTGAGCTCAGACACGGCCAGAGGGCAGCCGCAGGAGGCCGTACCACGCCATGGATTATGGCTGAGAAAAAGAGTCAGGACTGTACACTGGGCCCCTGATCTGCAACCCCAGGAACAGCACTGGTGCGGGACGGAGCGAGAAGGCCAGGTGACGACAGCAGAATGCGCCGCACGGCCCCGGCCTTTCCTGGCAGTCTGCACACGTCACGCTGAGCAAGGTGCACTCACACGGCACCAGACGCATTTGGATTCGAAGGTGCTCCACGTGCAACCCAGGTGCAGACTCGCTGCTGTGACTCGGGGGAGTGCTACCATTGGGGACGGGGAAGGAAGGCCCACCGCACACACCCCCGTTGCCATTTGAGATAACTCACAGCAGTGACTCTTCACCTCGGATGCACCAGTGACACCCGGGTGTGTGTTTTAAGAATCCAGAAAAGTCTATCGTGATGCCTGTGGCTGGTGCTCAGGCATCAGGGGCTCTAGGGTCTGGCTGAGGCTGAGCTCCGCTGCCCCTGCCTGCCAGCACCACAGCGGCCCAGCAGAAGACCTGGTGACTTCCACTCCCACGACTGCACGCGACAGTGACAGAGATGGTGCTCTACAGAGGCGCCCAACAGGCGGGGTGGGCCTCCACAGCAGGACTGCTGGGCGTACCATGCGGGAGGCGAGGTCCAGCAGCTCCCGCTTGGCCTGCCGCACGCCCTGTGGGTCGCCCTCGATGCGGACCAGGCTGCTCTTCTCGCTGTCTGGAGGGATGCGCACAGACACCTTGTACTGGTCCTTGACCCTGTTGACTTAAGCACACAGAAGGGGACACACCTGGGACTCAGAATCAACTGCAATGCACCGGTGACCAACAGGTCTAAAGCCCCTAAATATCCGACCAGCCATCCCACAAGTAGAAGGACGAGGAGGCCCAGGGCAAGACCTCCCATTCTTCACACGAGCGGGGTCTGCTCTCCACCGGAATAGTCTGAGACTGCTAACGGACCACTGGCTGAGACCACAGAGCCTGAGGCCATTGGCCTGGAGTGTGGCTGGCACTTCAGAATACAGCAGGTCCCCAATAACATCGTTTTCTTAAACTTCCTTTCATTATAACGCTACGAAAAAACCCGACTTCTATGTGGGGCCCTGTCCATGGCGTGTGTGGTCTCCCCACATCTGTGCGGGTTCCTCTCATGTCCCAGAGATGTGCCCGTGGGGGTGACTGAATGCTCAGACTGTCCAGTGACGGGAGGACGGTCTGAGCAGGGCAGGGCCCCCCTTGCACCCCGAGCTCCGGCAGGGGCTCGGCCCCCGCAGCCCTGAACCGGAAGCGGCGGGGAAAGAGAGTCATCGTCCTCGTCTGCCTTCATCTTTCCTAAATGTCTGCAGACCTCACCCTTGCTTTGTGTTTCACATCAGAAGCGTTTGGGGTCTTATGTAGAGCTGGGTGATGTCCGGTGGCCGGAAACGTGCCGCAGGAACATAGCCTTTGGTCACGTCGTCAGCCTCTGGCACAACTGGTTTCGTTACATGTCGTTTCACGTAAAGTCAGTCTCTGAGACCCTATTATGATGTAAGTGAGGACTCGCTGCATTTAAAAGATCTCAGGTATTTCTAATGTGAAGACAAGTCTGGGAACCACACATCAAAAAGTTACTCAACCCAATAAAAGTTAAAAACCATTAACTGAAGCTCGGGGCACCCCATCAACCCAAGAGCCCCACGGAGGCTGTGCTGCTGCCTCAAGAGACTCCCTGGTCAGCTCAGCTCCAAACCCAGCACTCAGCTGTCTCTGCATGACAAGTGAAGCTGAGGGCCTCTCCCGTCCCCTCTGGACAGCACCCAGTGTCCGTGGCAGAGCCAGGCTGCACCCTGGCCAAGTGTCAGCAGCAGGAAATGGAGAAGCACCTGGCCCACTGTGCAGTAAGGGGCCACTGTTTGGAGGGCCACCAAAAAGAGCTGAAAGCAGAGACCGCCAGGAGCCAAGGTGCTCGGGGACGTGAGGGGGCACTGCTCCAGGTCAAGCCACGCAGGACCACAAGGCCAAGGACATAAGAACTGGGTGGCAGAAGAGAAAACGAAGGGTACAGGCTGAGCCAGACGAGAGCAGACACAACTCTCTGAGCCACGCTAGGTGGTTCCACACATCCTAGGCAATTAATGTCAGAACTGTGCTTCCCTGCATTTGGGAAAAAACAAAAACAAAAAAACCCACTGTGGATAAACAAGACATACGTGTAACAGTAACAAAAGCGAGTTTGCGGTGCGTGCGTGGCTCCAGCAGTGTGTGCCGATCAGCTCTGGAGTCGCTCTGTGCGAGCGGTTTAATCCACTCCCAGAATGCGAGACCGACGCCAAACGGAGAAGTGCCAACCTCACGTGTACGCAAAAAAAGTGGACTGCACAGGACAAAGCCAGAGGTGCGCTCGCAGAGGCGTCCTATCTGCTCAGGGGGGGCCTCACAACCTAGGGGAGGTCCCAGGAGCGGGCACACGCTGGCCCCCACCTTCCTCTGAACTCAGAGCCCGCAGGCCCCGAGATGTGTGGGGGGCCGCGCAGGTCAGCTGAGCAGAGCAGCTGTGAAACGCACGTGGGCTCCAGCAGAGTTCGCCGGCATACCCGACACCCCCCACGGGTCAGCCTGACACTGAAGGGGGCCTGACACGTCCCTTCTTGCCCAGCAGGCCCCCTCTCTGCGGGGTCTGACTTGGGCACGAGCCAGGAAACTCCTGACTCCTCCCTGAGCTCCACATGAGGGTGCCAGGCAGTGAGGGCTGCGGAAGCTGGTGGACCGTGCCCCAGCGCGTCTGGGGGCCTGTAAAGGACGGAATCCCCGGGGGTGCTTCCCCACAGCCCCTGTGGGTCAGGCGGCGGACTGACCAGATGGATCACGTTCCCCTCTAGGCCAAATGGCTCCAGACCACCACGGCCCAAGGAGAAGGTGAGGACACCGGTCAGAAGCCTCACGCCTGCCCTGAGCCGGCCGCACTCACTGTTGGCTCCGCTC